GCAAGTATATAGAAAAGAAAACTATGATTATGCTTTGAATCACCGCTGGCTCCCTGAACGCTGAATTAATCATTTAGAGTGAATTTCAGACATTTGTAATAATTTGAGGGGCTGGGTAGTGGGGTCTGCTCGGTTTTTGGTTGGACTTTTTTTTTTTTTCTTCTTGAGAGGCAAATTTTTCAAAAGCAAGTCTGAAGTAATAACAGTTTTTAAAAAAACAACAGCAAACCCCTGTGTTTAGTAAAGATTGTGTGTCATATAAGGCGTTATCCTAACAAGCTCCTTACAGGGACAAATCAATGTCATATTAGTGCCAACTTTCTTCCATTCATTTACTTACATGGGCGTCCCTCCCTAGGCAGGCTCCTGCGTTGGTTCCTAGGCAACTGTAATAATATTGCTGCACGTGTGTGTCAGGCATTGATTGCCTTTGGGGCTTTTTTTTTGTGTTGTAAGTGAACACAGGCTGGTCCATTTTCTTTTTCTTTGTGTTTGGCTAAAGTCTCTGAGAGTTTTGGAGGGCGCGTCTGTGATATTCACAGCTGAGCAATTCAGAAATACTTGCAGACGGGCACACGTGCATAGCGTGGGACAGGGATCATGCTGGAATCTCTAGGCAAGGTTTACTTCAGCTACTGTGGTTTGCTCTTGGGGTGTTTTTTAATAGCCAGGTTACAGGTGGTTTAGTATTTTGGGTGCTTGATGAACATGTAGCATCATCTAAAGAAAACACAATGAACAACCCCATTTTATCTTGGTTTTACTCTGCATGAAGGGAAAGAAAAAAAAGTGCTAGTCAATGAAGGGTTCAAATCCTTACTGACATTTGTTTTAAGGGATTACTCACTTGAGCAAGTGTGTGCAAGGTCTGGCACAGAGGAAGTGGGTTTTTTAAATGAAAAAATGAAAGTTAACATTAAATAAAATTACAAGAGAAAGGATGGTGGGTGAATACAGGACGGCAATGAGACTGGGGAGCTCTTTGCCCTTCTCAGCTCTTCCAAGAGCTCCTGGCTGACCTTGACCATACCAGTTCATCTCTTGTTTCCCAGATGTGAGGTGGGAATGGCTGTATGTCTGTCATCCACTGTTTGTTCATTTCAGGGATGAACAGCATAACCATGAGCTGCTTTGATTCCCCGCTTGGAGTTTGGAAGGCAGATGGGTACAGTGCACATGCATGGTACTGAAGCTGTCCTAATAAACCTTGCTAGTTCCAGCAGCTTCATCCCAACATGGTCTTGACAGTCTGTCACCCTGTAAGGTTTCTAGGAGACAAATAAAACTGTCTTTCAGATGACATCTTGGGCCACCAGTTGATCATCCCTGCTTAATGTGGAAGGTCTTTGAGGCCTCTCTGTGTTGCATTTCCTTCTTTGGGCACCTGATTTTACCCATGAGCACCTAAATGGTGATGCAGCACAGAGGAGAAATATGAGTATAATAAATTGATTGTGCAGAATCTAGAATTAATTGAGCCGTAAGCCCATGAAATACATGTGGGAAGCATGAAAACAACTTGCCAAAATTTACAGTTTACCAAATACTGATATGCAGATGTTTTAAATGCCCAGACTTAATGGGATATACTAATGTTGTCATTTCCTCAGCATCCAAGGAATGATTTTATGCTTTTAATGTAGAAAGGCTCTTATTTTTTAACTAGTAATGGTAACAAGAGCATTATAATGCACGTCCGGCTGTGGAGAACTTTGCCCTTTCTCTTGTACACTTTTCAGTGCAATTGAAAATATTTAGAGGATTGAATAACTCTCTGCATTTTTGTTACTCTGGTGTTCAAACAAGTAAAACATCGTAAAAAATAAAACATCCTCTGTAGTCTCACCAGAAATTGATTCAGTCAAGAAAGAGGAAAAAAAGAGAGAAAACACTGAAATAGAGAGGAAGCTATTTCAGATGCCTTCTTAGAAGGCTGAAAGTCTGTATGAAAACAACATGCAATGTTCACCAATTCTTTAAATAATGTTTGAAAAATAGCAAGAGGCTGTTAATGTGCAGTATCGCAATATCATTCGTTAAAGAAGGAAACATGAAAGACCTGAATGGCTTTACAGGCTCGTCGGCGTATTATCCATGGTGTATAGAAGTCTCACAGAAGATGCAAAGATTTTTTGGCCTCTAACCAAAGAAGTCGTCAGGATTCAGAAATAGTACCTGAACTGTGAATTACCTATGGCAACAAGAAGGGTTAAAGAAGAGATATCTAAGTGTAGCGAGCTATTACATGAGCCTTTTATAGACTACAAAGACATGTTTCCCCAAAGGCAGGCCAAGAACAGCATTGCCTCCTCTTTCCCAGTGACTCAGTATCTTTAGCGATGAGGGGATACCAGCATGCAGTGAAGGCTGACCCAGGTATCCTCTGTACCTGTCCCTGTGGAGAGCAAGAAGCAGCTTAGTTCTTCAACTCAGAGCACTGTTCTTCCAGGCTGCTGGTTTGTTGTCATCTGCACCCCACGGTTGGGGCTAGGAGTACATCAGCCTTCACCAGAGAAAGTAGAAAATTGGTCTTCAGAGAAGCAGTCAGGGGTGGACCGATGGTGGCCACCACCAGAATGGGCCAATGATGGTCATGATGGCTGCTGGTGCAGTGGACTTGGCAATGTGGGGCTGTCATTTTGCACTGCCTCTGGTTAGTGCCTGAGAGTGTGGGACCCTAGTCAGAGCTTCAGCTATTGCACCAGCTCTGATAAAATAACAGTGCAGACATTTCTTCCCTCTTGGTTCTGAGTGACGTGAGAGAAGTTTGTTCATTTTTTCCAATGAGCTTATCTCTGAAATATGAATTCATATTAATTTAAATACCATCAATCTTGGTTTCCTCTGCCGATGGCCTTTGATGGGGGAGAGCAGATGTGCTGGCTCCTCTCTCATCCCTCTCCGTCCATTTCAGCAGCAATTTTTTATAAGTTTTGTCACCTCCATGCATACTGTGGAGAAATACTGAGCGAGCATAGGGAGTGGCAATGTGAGAGCGCAAAATTACACTCCTCATCAATCATTACCCTCTAGCAACTTCCAGGGCACTGTAAATTGCTGACTAACAAGGCAGAATTAGCTTGATAAAATCACCATTAGTGTCGGTTGAGAATGATGTAAAGTTTTAAAGACACTGCTGTCCTCTCTGTCTCTCCCTCATCCATTAGCGTGTCTGTTCATGGAGATCCCAATCCAGCAGAGCACGTAAGCACATGCCTAATTGTAGGCAGATCAGTAATCCCAAGGAAATCACTGGGATATGAGTCCTAAGCATGTGTTTATGTGCTTTGCTGGATCAGGGCCATAACACACACACTCTGAGCACAGAAATGATACATATCTCTGTGTGAACCAGTTTCTTGATTTAAAATGAGATTTAGACTCACTAGCTGGACTTAGAAATATGACAGTCAAGTTTTACAGCAAGAGAGCATAGTAATCAGTAGATATGCAACATTATACTTAGCTTCTTTAACTTTCCTTTTCTTACTTGTTATTTGAGTTTTATCAGTTTGTGGTAGCTAGCAATGTGCCTCTCTAAGCCTCTGCACAGCCTTCTCAAAGCTTTGCAGTTACTAAAATTTAGACCATGTTTGGACCCATGCATAAAACTTAAAGTGCGACCAAATCAGGAACAGTTTTTTAAAACTTACAGGTGAGGTGCAGATGCAGGTAATGTAGCTCTCAGGTTGTGTTAGCTTATGGACTTCTCTTGGTACTACAATTTGCCTTTTGGCTTCTCAGTGCTTGGGGTTTGTTTCTTCATGTTTTCAATTTTTCTTCACAGACTTGAAGGCAAGACCCTTATTTCTAAGGAAAAAAAAAAAGAAAAACAAACAAAGCCAACACAACAAAAAAAGCTCAAAGCAAACAAACAAAAACCCCACTAAAGATATAACAATGGACACTTGGATCTCATACAGTCATTTGACTCTAATAGCTGTGAGAAAGGAAAAGTGCGAGGCATTTCAGGACTTCCCACAGAATCACCGGGTGACCAGTGCCCCTCATTTGTATTTCAAAATTGCTCTGAAGTGTGGTGTTTTGTTGCTTTCATGATTTGATTATCCAACTGGAATCTAAGACTTTGTACCTCTGACACTGTCATCCCTTTATTTTGTCATTTGGTTACAAAGCTGTGGTGACTTATCACTACAGATAGTTATTTGCATCGAAAGGCTGACAATGTCCAGCTGTGTAGTTGCAGCCCTTTCCGTGATCACCACGTTTCAATGCTCCACAGCCACCTGGAACTGGGGCTTGATCTACTGTGATGTTGCATCCATTGCCTCAGAGTGCCCCAAAAGTAGTCCGGTCATCTTGTTCGAGCAGTTTGTTTGAAGTCATAATATCGCATTTGAGAACGGAATAGCACAGCTTTGAATGCCAGAAGTGATAATTGCAATGATCTAGTCTGATCTTCCACAGGACACAGAACAGAAAATATCACCTACCTCTGTTTCATTTTTTACTTTGTGGAACAACTTCTTCTCCTGGTGTTGAAGTGGACTGTACTTTATTCCTTCCATAACAAGCTGACCACTTTAATGAGGAACATGTTGTATCTTGACTGCTGCAAATGCTGAAATGTATCTTAATGGAAATGAATGTTGTTACTCTTCCTTTACAAACCAAAGCAGCAAACTTGTCTTTCATAAAACAAAATCGATGTCTATTCTTTGATAGACTTGAATACTAGTTAATACGAAGATAAATATTAATCCTTCTAAAAATTTATGTCTGTGAAGCAGAAGTGCTGGGACAGATTCTCAGCAACTGCAAGTGAATGCAAGTCAGTTTCAGTGGTCCTGAGTAGCTTTACACCAGCAGAGGTGTTGGCAAGCCAGTGTCTTTTACAGCTCCACTCTTTTGAAACATAGCACTCCTTGAATTACCAGAACTGTTTGAAGGAATATCTACTGCTCACAATCCATGTAAAGTCCATTGCACACTCTCATCCTATTTTGTCATTCAATTTTGACGCTAATCTATCTTTGCAGGTGTGAAAGCTGTGGTGCTGTCTTCCACTCAGAGTGCAAAGAGAAGGCTGTACCGTGCCCCAGGTGTGTGCGTAAAGAATTGCAGAAGAAGCAGAAATCCTTCTGGAGGCGACTGAATATGGACGAAAACTTTGAAGAGTCTTGCAACATGTTTGAGTTGTCCTATCAGAACACATGAGTTCCGCAAGGTGGTGGCCAGCCTGAAGAAAATCCCTTTCCCAGCTGCCAGCTCAAGCAACTTCTCAGCTTAGCCAGGCAGAAATCTTGCAAAATAATATCTGACCTTCTTCATCTGTGAATAGCAGCTGCCAAAGTGGCCATAAAGCCTTGTTGGCTTTAAAATACCAATGGCTAAACTGCATTTTGCGTTGGAAGTCCAGCCGCTAGCTCTCATACAAAATGTGGTTTACTTGAAATGCTTTAGGTCTAGCTAATTAAGCACCCAACTTTTTCTTTTCCACCTCTGGAGAAGACTTTTTCCTCAAGGCAGAAAATATTTGCTGCCATGACCACATTATTTTTTATGTTGTTCATTTAGAATCAATGAATCATCTACTTATTTATGTGTATCATTTATTTATTATTAGCCTTGGGAGAGGTTCTGGTGAGGTGTTTCACAGAACCCAATAGGGCAGGAATGATTTTAAACCCGCCTGCTCCTTCTGATAGGGATGCGTGGTTCCATTTCCTCATGTTTCCAGAGAGCTGTGTTTAAAGGATCGGTGCATTTACATGTCATTCCTCCCTGAGGAAAGAGAAGTATCTCCCATCAAACCTTATCGAGGGTGCTTGCAAACGTAAGAAGCAGAATAATTCCTTCAGCTATGTTTATATATTTATAACCACCCCAGTGAACTATTCCATATGCAGATAAGCAGGGGACTTGCTACTGTTTTTGCTCAGGCTGGGTGTATCGGTCAAGCTCTGTCACCTAAGCCCATTGCGTTTTACTCTGGTTATTCTTGATCCGTGTAAGGCCACATCCTCATCTCCAGTAACATGATGTTGGTTCTGACCTCCTGCTAGTCTTACTTTTAAAGGCATTTTAAGTGGTTTTGTTTTTATTTCGTGTTTACTTTAAATGTTTCTCTAACCTGAACCTGTTAGACTGATAGTCAGGAAAGTGGTCTTGCCCACGTTAGTTAGAAAATACCTCCAAAATTGTGAAAAGCCAGTTTGCTGTGCTCGTGTGCAATTTGTGTCCTGCATTCTCTGCGAGCTCTAAGGGATTTCGGTGGTGGAGAGTGAAGTTCTTTGAGGTATGGTTCTGCTCCACACACCTGGAACACAGGGAAGTATTAAACATGTTAAATTACATATATTATGAAAGCGAAGTACGTGATAGATGTAACTGGGGAGATATGTGTCATCACTGGCAGTATGTTTAATTCATTTTGGCTTCACCTCCGGTGAGCACTTAGAGATCCTCCTCCCTCCAATCCACATTCTTAACTCTTTCTGCAGACCCTGCAGTAATGTGTGTATCACGTACCTATGAAAGCATTCACGTAGATATACACATACATCTATATACAGAAAGCAAATATGGTTTCACGAGAAAAAAGCCAGTCACGTGCATGTGTATTTTTTCCTCTCTTCTCACATAGGTTTGTGAAAATGCAGAAAACTGATCTTTGCTTCCTATATAATCTGCAGGCTGTTGTATTCAAGGCAGAAAGCAGTCCTGATTGTTGAAGCACCTTGAAGTATTTTAAATAAAAGAACAGGGTACATCATGCTTACACACAAAGGTAGAGTGCTACAATGAATTGCCTTATACTGGAGCATAAGTGGTTACCTTTTCCAGCCTCCACTCAAAGAAAGTAGCTGAATCTGAGCATTCTCAAATTTGAGTGCAACTACTATATATATATATAAGCATGTTTATATCTGTATACATTAGACAACCAGTGCCTTTCTTTTCCAGAAGTTCTTCTCGCAGTGGGATTCTTTGGAAGGAAGTGGGGGTTTTTCCATGTTCTTGGCAAAGTAGTATAGGGATTCCCATATTTAATAAACCTGGTGAATCATACACCTTTGTCACTAAAATTAATACTTCCTCTACACAGGGATGTCTCTGTCTCAGCGCACTGTTCCTCATGTGAAATGAGTTGCTTTCGGCTATCATCCTTAAAGATATAATGTTCCTTGCAAGTCCATTCCCAGGTGAAGAATTCCCTGCATGTTCACAAATGCAAACACTGGGGAAGTATTGTGGAATTAGTCATGCAAACAGGAACTGCTGTGGTGCTGGCTGAATAAATAGTACGCTCCTATGTTTTTCAGCATGTGTCACTACAGCTACTCCTGTGGCAAAGCCAGTAGCTCTGCAACTGTCAGAATCTGGCAGGTACTATTTTGAATTAGCTCTAGACATAATGGTGAGTCATTAAAGAAAAAAAAAAGGTGGTGTTTTTTGTATCATTATGCTCTGGTATTTAAGATACTTTACAGCACTGGTTCATGTCCTGCTCGGTTTAGAGAAGGCTGCTTGTGTGCACTGTCAAAAAACTTATGGAGTGAAGGAATCAAGGTTCAGACATTGAAAACTATTACTTTGATGGACATCTCCAGAGTACCAGTCATGTGGGTGGACAGATACTCTAGTTGAATTCTGGAATAACAACATAGGCAGCATTAGAGTTACTCTGGATTTGTACAAGTATTACAGATGGTTTCTTTGCTAACTGAGATTTACAGGAAAAATAAGAGTATGATGTGGGCAGAACTGTTGGGATTAGTCATGAGTCCGGAACCACTGCCACTACTAACAGCAAAGAGCAAACGCGTTTTGTTACGATATGCTGGCAGTGCCCAAAGCTTTATGTTAAAGGATACTGTACAGTACACATCAGATTCATTTCTTTAAAATCCAATGTTGTTGTAAACAAGCCAGTTTCTAAAAAGGATACATATTCATTTCTACCTTGGAAAAGTAATATAGCTTCTCGTAGTAACTCTAGGAGCAGAACGTAATGTGGAAAATGCTTTCCTCTCAGGGTTGCCTAGCTCCTATCCAAAAAAAGTTATTCCCTATGAACAGATAAAATGAAGTCTTCTATTACTGCCTTTTGTAAGCATAATGGAAGGCTTGATCCTGCCCTCAGAAGGTGCTGATGCAGTAGGAACAAGCCCTCTTCATTTTTCAGGACTGCAAGGCAAAAGAATAAACTGAAAGTACTGCTCATGTTACTAACTCTCAAAAAGACCCAGCTCAGTTTTCCTGCGAGAGCCATCTGCTAGCAGGAGTCTCAGCCTGGGGTTCTGTAGGTGGTTTGGGTTCCAGACAGCGCTGTACCCCTTGCATGGTACCCCTTGCTCTGCTGTGGTGACAGTGCTACGTGCTGGTCCCCACTGCTGCTCTTTCCCCGTTCTGCAGCCCACAGCCTCCATGGCCTCTGCTCTGCAGGCTTCTGGGTGGGCATCAGCTGGAAAAGTACCTGGGGTCTCTCCAGATTGCACAACTCTCTCCCCCCACGTGGACAGGTGAAATCACATATTAGTGCTTCTAGTCTCGTCCCACCCACTCATGAAATAAATTTGAACCATAGCATTTCATTGTGAATCAAGAATAAAACGTGCTGTTTGTCTCCTTCACAGAGAAGGTGCTTTCATAGCTGATGGGGGAGGAATTGATCTGTAGATCCAGTTACTGCTTTTGCTTGTACAGAACTTGTAACCAGCGTAGAAATAGGGTGCTTCCCTGCAATGGGCTATAGCCTGACCCTCTACATCTATTTAGAAACTTCTCATCTCAGTTTAGTTAGTCTGAGATTATTTTAATCTAGGACGCTGTAGAGATCCTTATTCAAGTCTCTTTTCCTACTAACCCTGACTCTCTAGCTTTTCTTTAATGGGGAGAAGGACCTACCTAGGCGATGCAAACCACAGCTTTGCTTTTTTTTTTTCAATATTATCAACTTGTAAAAAGAGACATTTGGATCCTTTATGTAGAAATCTTTCTCTTGCTTTTCTTTATCTGTCTTAGGTGATGAAAAATGATGATTTTGTGATGCGACACAATATCCTGCCTGGCACATACCAGTATGAGGTCATTGCTGGGATGATAGGAATTGACAGTTGTGAGGATTTCCTATATAAGTGAGAGAAGGTACTTGTTGGTGAGGAGCTTGAGTTTTTCACAATGCTCCACGGGCTCTGATGGCCCTGTTAGGAGTGAGTCATCAAGGTACCACTAAGGCTCTTCTTGTCAAGGTTTCTCTTAGTATCAGGATACTGTGTGTATTATAATGGATTGATGATAATGTCCTGAAAGACTCTTTTTAAAAAAAAAAAAAAAAAAAAAAAAAAAGAGTGTTTG